GTGTGACAGGCTTGCTTGCAGTAGTAGGGACAGGTGTGACAGGCTTGCTTGTAGCAGTAGGAATAGGTGTGACAGGCTTGCTTGCAACAGTCGGGACAGGTGTGACAGGCTTGCTTACAGCAGTAGGGAAAGGTGTGGCTGGCTTGCTTATAGGTGTAATTGGTTTTGTTGGAGCAAGGATAGGTGTGGTAGGCTTGGCTTCAGGAGTAGGGACAGGTGTGGCAGGCTTAGCTTCAGAAGGGACAATTGCGGCAGGCTTAGTTGCAGTAAGGGCAGGTGTGGCAAGCTTGGTTACAGTAGATGCAGGTGTGGCAGGCTTGGATGCAGTAGAGGCAGGCTTGGTTGCAGTAGATGCTGGTGTGGCAGGCTTGGTTGCAGAAGAGGCAGGTGTGGCAGGCTTGATTGCAGCAGAGACAGGCTTGATTGCGGCAGAGGCAGATGGACCAGGCTTAATTTCAGTAGAGGCGGGAGAAGTTGGTTTTGTTGCAAGAGTGGGGGCAGGTGTTGCAGGCTTGGTTGCAGGAGTGGATCCAGGTAAGACAGACTTGGTTGCAGGAGTTGAAGCAGGTATAGAAGGCTTGGTTGCATTAGTTGCTATAGGTGTGGCTGGTTTGGTTGCAGGTGTAAGAGCAGATAGTTCGTCTGCAGAAGTGGATATTTTTACAGCTGCTGCTGAACTGGAGAAAGGTTTGTCAGTGGGTTGTTGAGCAGCAGCATCAGTAGGAGGCTGACTGGATGGAGCAGCAGCATCAGTAGGAGGCTGACTGGATAGAGCAGCAGCATCAGTAGGAGGCTGACTGGATGGAGCAGCAGCAGCAGAAATGTGAGAGGTCGTGGAGGAAGTTTGTTGTGGGTGGCTTTTGTGCTGGTGTCTGCGCCAGCCTGGTTGGGGTTCAGCTGCCTGAGAACAGCTGCTGACTTGAGCACCGCTGCTGGTCAGCGTTTCAATCTTCTCTTTGACGTTACTCCTCCGAGTCACTTGCGACTTGAGTGTTCCCTGGATAACGGGAGACACAGCTGCAGGTGCATCCAGCGGTCCAGCCATCTGCTGCTCCCGCGCAGGTGTTGTCTTCCTCCAGGGTGCCTGTTGAGGCTCTTGGTCGTGCCTGTGAGTAGGCGTGAGCGTGGTGGGATCAGCACTGGTCTCACTCTTGTGTTGTACTTGTTGGTGAGAAGTAGAGACACTGGCAGCAGATACTTGCTTGACAGCAGCTTTACGCCACGGTGTAGGGGAACTTTGCTCCTGCGGTAACTTGTCAGGGAGGACCTGGCCCTCGCTACCCGCCTTGGCACTCATCTTCATGCTCAGCTGCTGCTGGGATGTCTCTGACACGCCGTGTGGGTGTGGATACATCAGGTCAGAGGGGTCACCAGAGCGGGGCGTTCCCCGACCTGGGCTGCCTACAGGGGCGTTCCCTGGGCTCCGCCCCCCGCCACCGACCCCCGAAGGTTCTCTGGGTATGCCCTGAGTGACTGTTGAGTCACATGCCTGTGTCACTACCTGCTGACGCGACACCACTGTCCTCTCACTTAGCGACATTTCTTGTCTAAACGATGACGACGACATTACTGTGGTCGTAGACGACGACAAGCTACTGGGTATTACTGAGGCAGTGATTGCAGGGGCAGCCTGTGGTCCATCTCTCTTGGCTGCCTGCTGGGGGGGTGCAGCACCTGGAGTAGCTTGTGGTGTTGAGCTAGTTTTTGGTGTCTGCTGTGCAGCTGAGGTTTTTCTCGTTGAGGCACGGGGCGGTTCGGATACAGGCGTGGCCCGGGACGGTTCAGACGCAGGCGGGGCCCGGGATAGTTCAGATGCAGGCGGGGCCTGGGGCGATTCGGAGGCAGGCGGGGTCCGGGACGGGGATGTCATCCTAGTGGTGGCCCAGGACGGTGCATCGGACGCAGGAGGGGCTCGGGACGGCGAGTCTGTCCTGGGAGTGGCTCTAAGGGTATGCTGGGCCCAGGGTGCCCCTCTAGTGATGGAGTCTACGGATCTAGCTCTGGCTGGGCCATCGCTGGAGCGGAAGAGAGACCTGCGAACCATGACTGGGCTGGCCCCGGGCACCGGCCGGTTGAAGTGTATGGGCGTCGGGTCTACCTCTGTGGCGGAGGAGAGGGGCGAAGCGGGTTTTATGACAGACCTGCGGGAGGCAGGGGGAGATATGTTGGCGTAGAGCTGTGAGGGAGGTGGGGGTGGCTGGGCATTTGGTTCCGCCCATGGCGGGACAGTATGCTGCGTGGATACTACTTGCCTTGGCCGCCACATCTTGCCCTTGCCCCTGTCTCTGCCACTGGCCTCTACCATCTTCTCTTTAGCGTCTGCCTCTTCCCTGCGGGAGGTATGAGAAGGTCGGCACTTTCTGCGAGGTCTAGGAGAGCCCTCGGGCGAAGACGGGGCCGAGGTCTGGTAGCCCGTGGGCGAGTGACGCCCCGTGGGTGTGCAGGTGTCTGAGTCGGGTGGGGAAGGCGAAGAGCCTGGTATCTCAGCGTACCGTTCACTCTGGCGGTCCACCACCAAGAGAAACATTATACACTGTGTGGCACATACAGGTAAACATATACACTACATTATGACTCACTCGAAACAACGTCAACTACATATTTACTTAAAATCTAATAGTTTCGCTGGGGGGTCCTACTGCTTCAACTTATATACACAAATAATTCAGAGTAGTTAACTTGTTCTTTTTCTTTATATTTTTATTCATTTGGGCAGGTTTATTGGGCAATGCCATAACAATAACTCAAATATATGACTAAGGCAATTAATAAACTATTGCTAAAATAAAAAAAATAAACGAAAATATATAAATACATTGGTACTGAATAACTGAAAACTGAAAACCTCAAGATTTCTAATATCACACAAACCAAAGGTCACATCTTTAAGTCTGTCACATTCATTGTGCAAAATACAGATCAGACAATAGGATGTATAACCTCTCTGTGACCTGCAGAACTCTGCCTGCCTTAACTTGTGAATCAAGAAGAGTACTCAACTTCAGTAGAGGGAAGACGCAGACCAAATATAGAAATCATCCACAAGCAACAGTCTTCCTGTTGCTGTTCAGCAGACAGACACAACACACACACACACACACACACCACACACACACACACACACACACACACACACACAGTGGGCACCTGTGACGAGCGGGGTCCCACAGGGGTCGGTCCTAGGACCAGTGCTATTTTTGGTATATGTGAACGACATGACGGAAGGGTTAGACTCAGAAGTGTCCCTGTTTGCAGATGATGTGAAGTTAATGAGGAGAATTAAATCTGATGAGGACCAGGCAGGACTTCAAAGAGACTTGGACAGACTGGACACCTGGTCCAGCAAATGGCTTCTCGAATATAATCCTGCCAAATGCAAAGTCATGAAGATAGGGGAAGGGCACAGAAGACCACAGACAGAGTATAGGCTAGGTGGCCAAAGACTGCAAACCTCACTCAAGGAGAAAGATCTTGGGGTGAGTATAACACCGAGCATGTCTCCGGAAGCACACATCAATCAGATAACTGCTGCAGCATATGGGCGCCTGGCAAACCTGAGAACAGCATTCCGATACCTTAGTAAGGAATCATTCAAGACACTGTACACCGTGTATGTCAGGCCCATACTGGAGTATGCAGCACCTGTTTGGAACCTGCACTTGATAAAGCACGTCAAGAAACTAGAGAAAGTACAAAGGTTTGCGACAAGGTTAGTTCCAGAGCTAAGGGGAAAGTCCTATGAAGAAAGATTAAGGGAAATCGGCCTGACGACACTGGAGGACAGGAGGGTCAGGGGAGACATGATAACGACATATAAAATACTGCGTGGAATAGACAAGGTGGACAAAGACAGGATGTTCCAGGGAGGGGACACAGAAACAAGAGGCCACAATTGGAAGTTGAAGACACAAATGAGTCAGAGAGATAGTAGGAAGTATTTCTTCAGTCATAGAGTTGTAAGGCAGTGGAATAGCCTAGAAAATGACGTAGTGGAGGCAGGAACCATACACAGTTTTAAGACGAGGTTTGATAAAGCTCATGGAGCGGGGAGAGAGAGGGCCCAGTAGCAACCGGTGAAGAGGCGGGGCCAGGAGCTAAGACTCGACCCCTGCAACCACAAATAGGTGAGTACAAATAGGTGAGTACACACACACACACACACACACACACACACACACACACACACACACACACACACACACAGGATGTTCCAGAGATGGGACACAGCAACAAGGGGACACAGTTGGAAGTTGAAGACACAGATGAATCACAGGGATGTTAGGAAGTATTTCTTCAGCCACAGAGTAGTCAGGAAGTGGAATAGTTTGGGAAGCGATGTAGTGGTGGCAGGATCCATACATAGCTTTAAGCAGAGGTATGATAATGCTCACGGTTCAGGGGGAGTGACCTAGTGGCGACCAGTGAAGAGGCGGGGCCAGGAGCTTGGACTCGACTCCTGCAACTTCAATTAGGTGAATACACACACACACACACACACACACACACACACACACAAAGGAGACAGAAACGAGGCACTAAACTATAGACTAGTGTCACTGACGTGTATAGTATACAAAGTCATGAAGATTATCAGGAGGAGAGTGGTGGAACACCTGGAACGGAACAAGATCATACACTATAACCAGCACGGATTCGTGGAAGGCAAATCCTGTGTCACAAACCTTCTGGAGTTTTACGACAAGGTAATAGAAGTAAGACACGAGAGAGAGGGGTGGGTTGATTGCATTTTCCTGGACTGCAAGAAGGCCTTCGACACAGTTCCTCACAAGAGATTAGTGCAGAAGCTGGAGGATCAGGCGTGTATAACGGGAAGGGCACTTCAATGGATCAGAGAATACCTGACAGGGAGACAACAACGAGTCATGGTACGTGATGAGGTATCACAGTGGGTACCTGTGACGAGCGGGGTCCCAGAGGGGTCAGTACTAGGACCAGTGCTATTTTTGATATATGTGAATGACATGACTGAAGGGATAGACTCAAAAGTGTCCCTGTTCACAGACGATATGAAGTTAATGAGGAGAATTAAATCAGATGAGGATCAGGCAGGACTACAAAGAGACCTGGACAGGCTGGACGCTGGGTCCAGCAACTGGCCTCTCGAATTCAACCCTTCCAAATGCAAAGTCATGAAGATTAGGGAATGGCAAAGAAGACTGCAGACAGAGTATAGGCTAGGTGGACAAAGACTGCAAACCTCACTCAAGGAGAAAGATCTTGGGGTGAGCATAACACCGAGCACGTCTCTGGAAGCACACATCAACCAGATAACTGCTGCAGCATATGGGCACCTGGCCAACCTGAGAATAGCGTTCCGATATCTTAGTAAGGAATCATTCAAGACACTGTACACTGTGTACGTCAGGCCCATACTGGAGTATGCAGCACCAGTTTGGAACCCACACCTGGTCAAGCACGTCAAGAAATTAGAGAAAGTGCAAAGGTTTGCGACAAGGTTAGTTCTGGAGCTAAGGGGAATGTCCTACGAAGAAAGGTTAAGGGAAATCGGCCTGACGACACTGGAGGACATACAAAATACAAAATACTGCGTGGAATAGATAAGGTGGACAGAGACAGGATGTTCCAGAGATGGGACACAGAAACAAAGGGTCACAATTGGAAGTTGAAGACTCAGACGAGTCAAAGGGATGTTAGGAAGTATTTCCTCAGTCAGAGAGTTGACAGGAAGTGGGATAGTCTAGCAAGTGATGTAGGGGAGGGAGGGACCATACATAGGTTTAAGACGAGGTATGATAAAGCTCAGGGAGCAGAGAGAGAGAGAGAGAGAGAGAGAGAGAGAGAGAGAGAGAGAGAGAGAGAGAGAGAGAGAGAGAGAGAGAGAGAGAGAGAGAGAGAGAAGACCTAGTAGCGATCAGTGAAGAGGCGGGGTTAGGAGTTGAGTATCGACCCCTGCAACCACAATTAGGTGAGTACACACACACGCGCGCGCGCGCGCGCGCAAACGCATGCACACATGCACACTCGACCCCTGCAACCACATATAGGTGAGTACCTATCATACGGAGCATTTCCTCTAAGATGCAAATCAACCAAATAACTGCTGCAGCAAATAAGCGTCTGGCAAATCTAATAAATTTTTGACATCTAAGTAAGAATTCATTCAGGACGCTGTACACCGTGTATGTCAGGTCCATATTGGAGTACGCAGCACCAGTATGGAACCCACACCTGGTAAAGCATATCAAGAAATTGGAGAAAGTGCAGAGTAGAGGACAGGAGGACTAGGGAGGATATTAAAGGGTACAAATTACTGAGAGGAAGTGACAAGGTGAATAGGCACAATGTTTCAGAGAAGGGAATCAGAAACGCGAGGGTACAGCTGCAATTTGAAAACTCAGATGAATCACAGGGATGTTAGAAAGTATTTCTTCAGCCTCAGAGTTGTCAGGAAGTGGAAAAATCTGAAAAATGAAGTGGTAGAGGAGGGATCCTTAGCTTTAAGAGTTATGATAAGGCTCTTGAAGCCAGGAGTGACCTAGTAGTGACCAGCGAAGAGACGGGGCCAGGAGCCGTGAATCGACCCCTGAAGCTAACATAGGTGAATACACATACCATACACAAGTTAAAACCCCAAATAAAAAGTAATCACTAACATACGATAAAAATAATCTTACACTAACTTGATATATCCCACACTAAATAAAAATTCCATCAGTCATAAGATAATACGACTTCTCTGAAATTTCCCCGAGTTACTGACCGATGACCTTAGTTATGGCATGACCAGAGCCGGTGTTCCAGTATCAGAGTCGGTGTTCCAGTATCAGAGCCGGTGTTCAAGTATCAGAGTCGGTGTTCCAGTATCAGAGCCGGTGTTCAAGTATCAGAGTCGGTGTTCCAGTATCAGAGCCGGTGTTCAAGTATCAGAGCCGGTGTTCCAGTATCAGAGCCGGTGTTCAAGTATCAGAGCCGGTGTTCCAGTATCAGAGTCGGTGTTCCAGTATCAGAGCCGGTGTTCCAGTATCAGAGCCGGTGTCCAAGTATCAGAGCCAGTGTTCCAGTATCAGAGCCGGTGTTCCAGTATCAGAGCCGGTGTTCCAGTATCAGAGCCGGTGTTCCAGTATCAGAGCCGGTGTTCAAGTATCAGAGCCGGTGTTCCAGTATCAGAGCCGGTGTTCCAGTATCAGAGCCGGTGTTCCAGTATCAGAGTCGGTGTTCCAGTATCAGAGCCGGTGTTCCAGTATCAGAGCCGGTGTTCCAGTATCAGAGCCGGTGTTCCAGTATCAGAGTCGGTGTTCCAGTATCAGAGCCGGTGTTCCAGTATCAGAGCCGGTGTTCCAGTATCAGAGCCGGTGTTCCAGTATCAGAGCCGGTGTTCCAGTATCAGAGCCGGTGTTCCAGTATCAGAGCCGGTGTTCCAGTATCAGAGCCGGTGTTCCAGTATCAGAGCCGGTGTTCCAGTATCAGAGCCGGTGTTCCAGTATCAGAGCCGGTGTTCCAGTATCAGAGTCGCTCCAG